CCCACACCCACACCCACACCCACACCCACACCCACACCCACACCCACCCACACATACACCCACACCCACACCCACACCCACACCCACACCCACAAGATAAAAAGAAGAAATAAGAAAAAATGAATTCATCTTTTACTAAAACAATAGATCATTTTCGCATAGTTGGAATTTAATCAATCAAAATTTTTATCCATTTTGAAAACAGAAATTACAACTAGAAAATAGACGGTCTAACGTAAACTGTAGAGCTTTTCACGCTGCATCTTTTGGTAACAAACAATTGATTTATTCAAATGGATAATAGAAGAGAAATATCAGAAATACGAAGAGTCTAATTTATTCTGGGACATCTGTTATGTTATAATTTACAAGATGGGTGTGAGTGTCTATCATCTTATAATCCACCCACCTTCAAGTATGAAATGCATCGTAAAAAATCATATAGATTTTCAAAGGAATGGAATAGATCATAAATAACAGAAGAAATCTTGTTGTTCATAAAATCTATTATTGAATAGAAAGAATCTTTTTATTAAGTTTGATTGTTATCTTAATAACTTCTAAAATGTAGTCTGTTGAGATAATTACATCATATAATTAAGTACGTATCTAAAAAACAGATTCTTTTTTTTCTCAATGAAAATGTTAAAAATTGATTTCATTTTGAAAAGTAACTTTCAACTTACAATTGCGATTAAATTATTGTTTAATGCGATAGAGTCTGAAGGTATTAACTATGGAGCCATGATTAGATTTTGTAAATAATCAATAATGAGAAGACATGTCGTCATATTCACTTTTTTTAGCATGTAATTTAGCTCAATCTTTCAAGAAAAAATATTTATGTTATTCATCTATGTATGTAGCTTCATATATATAAATGTAAAATACAAATGACTTTGATCACTCTCAATTCTGTTCCAAGAAACAGAAGATAAAGTTTATCAATTATAATAAATATATTAGTAATTACTTTTGAATTTCACTGTTTATGTTAAATCAAATAAAAGTAGAAATAATGTATTAGATGATTTTTTCTTAATCATTCAGGCCATAAAAGAAAATAGTTAGCTCGATGAACTCGACTAATTGTATAAACTTTCTTAGAATCGCATGAATAATCATTGAAACTACAATTCAATTAGTTAATTCAATACTCCTCCTCACGGCTATAGTCTAAACAGCAAAGTTTAGTGTCTTAAATTGCTTTAGATCATCTAGAACAAGACTAATCTTCTCTTGATTTCGATTATTTCTTCAAGGTAATATTAATCGAGCTTATCTCCATTTAATATAAAATAAACAAGATTACTTTGTTTTTTTTTGTTTACTCCTTCACTATTCAGCTGCCCATTAGCTTTTCAAAACAAAATCTTGCAACTGTTCATCAAATGAATGAATTATAATAAATTAAAAATGCATACTATTTATTGGTTCAATCGATTCAGATGACCTTCTATAAATGAAGTAAAGTAAAAACCTGAAAAAAGCACAATAATGCAAAATACATAAAACTTGAGTGTCATCTATTAAATTGTTCATTACCGTATAGTTATATATCTTAGTTTTTTCTCATAAACGACCGTTGACTATTGTTCATATTCGATCTCGGAATATAGAAGTAGAGAATAACACTTAGTCATTTTCATTAAATATTAATATCTAGAATCTTCTTTGTTGTCAAGATTAGTTGCTTTTTCGCATACATTCAATTTAATTGATCTATTTCGGTATCTTATAGTATCCTCTCCGAAACAGTTAAGTGCGATGATCATTAAAAAAATGAGAAATCATTGTAAGATATTTCTTCAAACAATTTCTCTCTTACTCTGAATCCGAGATCAGAAGACTTTAATTAACTTTTCTACATTATAAACTAAATTATAATTCATCATATCTTTAATGTATCTAAATTGATCAACACAGTATAAACAAATGATTGTTCTTTTCATTTCTTTCTTATTAATGATGAATACTCATTAATTAATTCAACTAGATCATGTTTTGATAACATATTGGTATATATATCGCAGTTTTCTCACTTTTTCTTCATCCTACGAGGCCTTGTTCAACACTATTATAATTTAGTTCCATTTAAGTTATTCTTCTTTTATTACAGGGAACACTCTCGTAAAGAATTAGAAATGTAAATACATGCCTGAGAAGATCATTTATATACATACATACATACGTATGTGTATTACCTTATCAGTCGGCTTTGCCCATTGCGTTTTTATTATTTACAGAGTTGTTCTCTGAACGCGCGCGTGAGAAACTACAAATTAGAATTAATTCAAAAATAATTGAACAAAACTTTTTTTTATTTATTTATTACTTATTCTTTATAAATTCTTTTTTACAAATTCAATACTCTCTTTCGTAATTTTTATATGAGGATGAGTTGGAGGTAATGTACGCTGGTTTATGTCCTGAGCACGTTCATAATATGACAGTGCTTTCGAATAGTCTTTCATATTTTGATATATACTACCAATGTTGTTGTATGAAGCAGCTATTGAAGGATGATTTGAAGGAAGAGTTTTTTGTTGAATTTCAAGTGCTTTTTCATAAAATGAAGGTGCTTTCGAGTACTCTCCCATTTTGTAATACACACTACCAATGTTGTTGTATGAAGTAGCCAATGAAGGATGATTTGAAGGAAGAGTTTTTTGTCGAATTTCAAGGGCTTTTTCGTGAGATGAAAGTGCTTTCGAGTACTCTCCCATGTTGGTATAAACCAAGCCGATGTTGTTGTATGAAGTAGCCAAATTAGGATGATTCGAAGGAAGAATTTTCTGTCGAATTTCAAGTGCTTTTTCGTAAAATGAAAGTGCTTTTGAGTACTCTCCCATATTGTAATACACCAAACCAATGTTATTGTATGACTGCGCGAAATCAGGATGATCTGATGCAAGAGTATTTTGTCGAATTTTAAGTGCTTTTGCATAAAATGAAAGTGCTTTCGAGTACTCTCCCATGTTGTCATACACCTTACCGATGTTGTTATATGAAGTAGCCAATGAAGGATGATTTGAAGGAAGAGTTTTTTGTTCAATTTCAAGTCCTTGTTCGTAATACCAAATAGCCTTTTCATAATCACCTTGATTCCAATGAACAGCTCCAAGCTGATTATAACAACTCGCTTTTTCATTCTCATCAGTTGTCTGTTCGAATAATACATTATAAAGTTCTTCAGCTTTATTAAATTGACCAATTGCAAGCAATAATTTACCCAATCTTTGCCATCCAGTACTGCCATCCGCTTCTTCTCGTATCCGATCAGTAAGTGATCGTAGTTGTTGATCATCATCTGATGTTAATTCTAATTCTACTTGATAAAGTTGATTCTTATTATCCATTTGTTTGATTGCGCTCACCCGAAACACGGTGTGCATTGAGAAGAGAATTTCTTCTTCTTCCTTAAAATAACTCTCTGCTTTAATCAATGCAAATGGTGTTGATTTCAAACAAGGATCAATGGACATTATAAAGAGAATGCCTACCTTATTCGGTTTTGTTGAAGCAACTAGAGCATAACTGTGGGCCATTTTTTCCTTTGTGCTGGTGGACAGGAATTTGTTAAAGGACATAAGTCCACCATTTGCTTTCTGAAGTTTTTCAAAGTCTGACTTCATAAGACCTTGTCCTCGATAAACTAAAAAAGGCTTTCGTTCATAACCATTGACCTGTTGTTCATGCAGTTGTTGAATTTGTTGATGTACATCACGTAAGAAGAAGCCCATGTTAATGATTATATTGGCATCCATAGTTCGAAGTGCTTGATTAAGCATTTTGTAGGTAAAACACTCACGTGTATACCACCATATTGCTTTTTCTGGATCATAGTCACGTTCAAATTCATTAATCACTTTTAATTCGCTTGGATTGCCAGTAAAAACTTCGCGGCAACCTGTTGCTAAGTCATGGATTGCCTTGTGATCATATTCGATATCAAGGAGGATCTCCTTGAATAGTTGGGTATACATAAAAGTTGGCTCCAACTGATTTAAATTATCAGGTGAAGCCATGTCATTTATCGTAAGAAAACTTACGGCAATGGTGTCCTGGTCACATTGTTTAACTGCCAATTGTAATGCTTGACAAATTTCTTTGATGTTTGCATGGACACCTTTAATTTTTTTCCAGTTTTGAGTCCATTCCTCATGTCCGGATTTGTTGTCACAGAAGATGTAAATGGCATCTAGCTGTGGTATGTCATGAATTTCAGGAACCAAATTTTGACCTAATGAGCCAGATATTATCACAAAGGCTTGTTCTTTATCAACCTTGTTGAGTGTTTGGATGCACTGATCCGGTTCAGTGCATAACTTGACATCGTTGACTACATTCTTCAATTGAGTCAGCGTATCCTGGCAGTCCTTGTCTGCTTGGTCGATGCTGTCATCTACCCAGATGAGAAGGTAGTTTTGTGCAATACGTTGTCGGGGTTGAGAAATATTTGATGATGCTGTTGATTTAAGTGATGCAGCAGCAGCATTTTGAGTTGGTTTTGATTCGCTCAGTGTGATCTTGTTCGATGATGCAGCGACATTTTGATTCGATTTTGATCCGCTCATTTTGATCTTGTTGGATGATACAGCAGCATTTTGAGTTAGCTTTGATCCGCTCACTTTGATCGTGTTGGATGATGCAGCAGCTTTTTGAGTTAATTTTGATCCTCTCATTTTGATCTTGTGGTAATTTGTTGTTGAAGGTAAACTTGTCAGTAGACTTTGCTGTTTGAATGAAAAGAAAGATCACCGTTCGTCTTTATATAAGCAGTGACTTATTTTTTTCCGATTTCTCGGCGACTTAGAATCTTTGCGTGTTTTTGTTGTCGTTCAAGGACAAACTCTACTTAGTTACGTTTGAGAATAATGTTGTGCAAAGCAAAAAACAGATCAAAACAAACAAATTTGTTGGTAATGTTATTGAAAGAACGAACAAAACAGAAGCAAACAATTTAATCCATTTTATTGTTATTCTTTCCAACTTATTCTTGCTTCTGTCTACGTCATTATTGCAGCTTGCTGATGTGTAGGCAACATTTTTTTCATCAAATACAGGTAGAAAGAGAAATGCAATTCTTTCACCAAATTTGTTTTTCTTTTACACTCTTCGTCAAACATCATATTAATGTTTGATGAATGTATGAAACTTATTATGACGAAACTAAGGACAAAAGCTTTGTGAAATTTTGTGCACCGAACATGCTTTTAATGTTATGCCAAAAAGACAACAGAAATACTGTAGGTTCAATATTGATGAAAGGAAGATCGAACAAAACTTTTCTAACTTATCTAATTATTAGAGATAATGAATTTCATTGTGACAATAGAATATCGCAAGAACTTTTTTGATTTCTGTTGAAAAAAGGAGTGTTTGATTGAAAATAGCTTTCAAAAAGCACAAAAATATTAATAAATTTCTTCATAATTTGAATATAAAATACTGTTGTTGAAAAAACAGAAATAATTTTGTGTTCATAACGGTGCAAATGACTATTTCAATTGTTGATAGTAATTTGAAAACAATGAACATTTTAAAAAAACGAGGGGCTCAAGAACTATGTATTTTACATGAGAAAAGAGATTTATTAAATACTTTATCAAGTAATATATTATTTCAAGTTAGACAAAGCTTCACTGTGAAGTATTCAGATGAAAGTTTGTTTTCGCATTAAAATAAATAATTCATGAAATGATTTCTTTATCAAGTTATGTGTCGTTTATTGTTCTTTATACGCCAGAACAATTATTTCAAGACGACATGAATAATTTTTTTGTAATAAATAGTGTATATATATGTTGGTAGAAATCATCGAAAATTTCAGAAAAACTATATTAAAAACAGAGTTTACACAAAATTTTTGAATTATTCGTTTTTATCTAATAAATATTGATTTTAGTTGATAAAAAAAGAGGAAGTTGAATAAATACGGCAATAATCTTGCAGCAGTATCTACACACGCACCACTAGACTTATGTTCATTATAAGTCATATTGTATGAAAACCTATGAAGAAAAACGCTATTAAAAGAATTTTGAGAGGATCATGTGTAGTATACAAGTACTCTATATAAGACAAACAATTTTTTTTCGTTTAATCTAAAACCAAAAAGCCATTATTAAGAATAGTCATGTGGCTTCTTTTGATTTCAAATCGTTCCGCGAAAAGAAGCTCTATTGATAATCTATAGTTAGTCGTTTAAAATGCAAATATAAGGAGAAAGAAAGATTGATAAAAAAAGTACACTGACAACGAAACAAACAAACGTTAATGCAGTTTTATTATTCTTTCCATTCTGTTTTCGTTCTTGTATGTATAGTCACTTATCAAAAACAAGCGAGAGTGTAAGTAAAGAACCGAATTTGAAAAGAAAAGCGAAGCTGCATATTCTTCTTCCTTTCTCGTTCGTCTGTCACTATAGTTTCATTTAATTGATGAGTTAATGTATGAAAAGCATGGTGAAGAATAGTTAGACGGCTTAAAAAAATTATATCACGAAATATTTCTAATTATCTAAAAATTTTGCCTCTGTAAGTGGTTTATTCTAAAGGAAGCTGTTGTTTTTTATAATCAAAAATATACATTTACGAAAGACTTCGCTTTCTAACCGTTTCATATATTTAAAAAAAAGTTGTGTTTTTTTGAGAGTGTGGGTGAATGTGAGTGTGGATGAGAGTGAGTGTGAGTATTCTATTTAATTTATCCACTCTCACACCCGCATGCTCTCTAGACTAAAACCATATGGGACACATTTGGTCAACCAATGAATGAGGAATATCACGTTGTATGTAGCCGGTCGTTATTCTAATTGAGATTGTATATGGTTGCGAGCATGTATCATAATTGATGAATATTTTCTAATCGTGTGTGAATTCTTTTGTTTTTTTGATAAAATGAGATGTAGGTAAAATTGCTTTCAAGAGATCGATCATGTCCTGTATATTCGCCATTGTTTTCAGACACGGTGAGGATGTTTTCGGTGCTACTTCCATCGCTTTTTCATAATGTTTCGTTGTTACCATAAGATCATGAGTAATAAATAGTAACTCAGCAATATTTTTGTACGCTACAAAATGTTCGTCAAAGTCTAGTGAGCTTTCAATTAAAAGGTATTCTAAGAATTTGATATAATATTTTACAGATATTTCTCTGCCATTTATATCATTGTAAGCAACGGACAAAACATTGTATGTTCGCAGTAGATCATGATTGTTTTGCGTTGAACATCTTGAGGGTGTGGGTGTCTATATGAGGGTGTGAGTGTGTAGTTGTGGATGTGAGTCTGGGTCTGGGTGGATGTAGGTGTGGGTGGGTATGAAAATAATATATAGAATCATATTTACTCATACCTACACCCACGCCGACTCTTCGACGTTTTCATCTGTTGACATATTTTTTGACGACGTTTTACTATGTCGGCGTTTTAACTTGTCGACGTTTTCATTGTCGACATTTCATCATTGTTGATGTTACAAGATATTTCTTGGATTCATCATTTGATGTTGTTAATGAAGTCGGAATTGAAGCTACTGCTACAAGATATTGTATTTTATATCAAGAGAGAGATAAAGATATTCATCGAAGCAAGAAAGAATAAGTAACATCTGAATTTGTTAAAAGAAGATATTATAACATAACATAATAACTTAATGAATTATTTTATTGAAAAAATTTTAAATCAAAATATTTGAAAAAAATAAACTAATTTGTTACTATTGTGAATTACCGTCTACTTGACTTTTTAAAACGTTGAATTTCAAATTTTTGTTTTAAACATACATCTTCAAATTGATTTATTTTATTTTGAGGGTGTGGGTATCGGTGCGTTCTTCCTGTAACCACACCCACCATCCTCAAGATAGGTTTAGCTATGGAGAGAACGCACTCATACACACACCCACATCTCTCTATAATATTTTATGTTTTCTATTACTAACAAAAGAATAAAGTATCTGTTTAAAACTATATCTGCTCAGAAACTTTCATTTGTTTTGTCAGAAAAAAAATTATATTTTAATCCTTTTACGAATAATACTGATATAAATAATAAAAAAAAGAGATTCTACATTTAAAATTAGATTTAGTTAGAGAAAATATTCTTGAAAGGATCTAGAATATGACTTTAGTTCAGAAGCACATGTTGGAATATTTGACTTCATTACTTAACGTATTCAAACAATCACTATGCGATAATTTTATTCATCAAAATTTGGAAAAAGAAAGGATCACCATTAACAAGAACGAAGTGCACAGAAACAAAAGAGTAATAAGAAAAGCAATAAAATAAAAGTTAAAGATCATTATGAGAATTGAAGCACATAGACTATCACACATGCGGTAAATGAGAAAAACAATAAGTTCGGAAGGACTGTTCATTCAAAAACAAAGCATCACATTCATATTTGACGGGATTTTTTCATAAATTAAAATTGAACATTTCATATGTTATGCTTTACAAATCATAATGTTCTTGATCTGCATCCTATAATAAAATAACAAATCAAAATAAATATATCAATAAATATTAAAAATTGAATATACTTTTTTTGATTTTGTATGTGTACTATCATCATCATCATCACCATCGATAATATTTTCATCTTGATTTATATTAGTTTCTTCTCCATCTTGTGGTTCATCATCAATTTTTTCATCTAATGAAACACCCATAGCTCGTCGTAACATTGATTCAATACGATCAGCAAAACCATCTGAATCATTTAAATCAAAACCTGATCGAAGTGTTGCTGCTTCATACATAACAGTAGCTAAATCACTTGCAACTTTATCATCTTTCGAATCTATAACACGTCGAAGTAAATCTTTAATAAGTGGATGACGTGGATTAATATCTAATGTTTTCTTTTGATTTAAATAATAATTTTGTGTTGCATCTCCACCACTTTTTTGATAAGTTTGTGCACGAGCAATTCGTTCCATATTTCCATCATAACCATATTGTGAAGCTACAAGTGCCATTGGTGTTTTAACAAGACGTTCCGATATTTTTGCTTCAAGAATTTTACCACGAAATTGTTCTTTAAGCCATACTAATAATGGTTGATAAGTTTTTTCTAAATGTTTTTTTTCTTCTTCTTCTTTTGCATTTGATTTATCTAATTCAAGACCATCTTTTGCAAGATTTTGAAATCGTTTTCCTTCAAATTCAGGTAATGATTGCATACAATATTGATCAACAGGATCAGTTAAATATATAACTTCATAACCTTTCTTTAAAGTACGTTCAACAAATGGAGATTTCTTTGCACTATCCATTGATAATGTAGCTATAAAATAAATATGTTCTTGATTAGGTTTCATACGTTCAACATATTCTGTTAAACTGATTTGTTTATTTTTTGATAATGATGTTGTAAAACGAAGTAATTTAGCTAAACGTGTACGATTTGCTGAATCTTCAATAATACCTAATTTTACAGATGTACCATATTCTTTCCAAAACGCTTCATAATCTTCCGGAGAAATTTTCTTAATCATATCTAAAGCTTTTCGTACAAGTTTTTTCTTAATAACTTTAAGTAATTTTGATTGTTGTAAAGTTTCACGTGAAACATTCAATGGTAAATCATCACTATCAACAACACCACGAATAAATGATAAATATTTTGGCATCATTTCTTCAAAATTATCCGTAATAAATACTCGACGAACATAA